ACAGTAAGACACACACACACAGTCTAACACACACACAACACAGTAAGATACACATACACACACACACACACACACAGTAAGACACACACACAGTCTGACAACACACACACAACACACAGTAAGATAGACACAAGTGACACGAGGGCTCAAACTCTACACACGTCACATCTAAACACAAACACTTTAACTGTTTCCCCGTGAAGACGACATCTGACGACCTCCGTGTTTCTTTAATCATTTGTGTCATTCGTTTTTTCAAAATAAAACCAAAAAGAAGAAAAAGAAAATCAACAGTTTCCTTCATTATTTGTCTCCAAAACCAAAATGAAAAAACAGATAACGACTTTCTCGTTTACGTGACTTCAGTGACTGTGATGCCGAACTGAACCAGGACTGATCCAGGTCCAGGACCAGACCGAGACCAGTCCAAGACTGAGATCAGAACTGAAAATGGGACCAGAGCGGGACTGAGACCGAGACCAGGCCGGGACCAGACCCCACAGAGGCTCAAGAGTCAAAGCTTGGAGTCCGCTCTGGTCCCGGACCTGGATCAGTCCTGGTTCAGTTCGGCACCACAGTCACTGAAGTCATTATCTGTTTTGTTTTGGTTTTTTACCATTTTTCATTTAAAACATACAATCGAAAATTGAAAACAAATGAATCATTGTTTGTTTTTTTTCATTTTGGTTTTGGAGACAAATAATGAAGAAAATAGTTTTTTCGTTTTATATTGAAAAACGAATGAAACAGAGATCACTCCTCATCACCTCGAACACTCTTTAAATCTTAAACATTCACTCCAAACACTCCGGCACACGACACTGCAGGAGCCACAGCCGCCCCGGGACAGACCGGCAGAAGCGAGGCTGCAGATCTGCACCTCGGGCTCGATCTGAAACAAAAACAACGATCCAGACTCACCTTCCAGGCATTGTTACAGACTTCAGGCTCGTTCACCTGAAACACAAAATGAAAAGTGTCGTTTATTTCTTTCTTTCTCTGTGGCTTCACACGACTCGAGCTCCTGGGTTCGACTCGACTGTTTTAGGACGTTCACAGCGGGAGAAGTTCAGACTGGATTTTGTTTTGGGTCAGTAATTAACAGTGTTGGGAGTAACGCGTTATAAAAATAACAAATTACAGTAATGCATTGCTTTTTGCTGTAACGCAGTAATGTTCAGCATCACAGGGGAAAAAATAGTAATATTTTACTTGGTACAAATACGCGCGTTACAATGTTTTTTTAACCTGGATTGAAGTGGTGGGTTTTTCGATTTCAGCAGCGGTGAAACGCCGGAGACGCGCCCTCGTAGACCTTCAGGTAACCGCGGACGAAAGGACTGACAAAGAACTCTATGCTGTTTAGACCTGGTTTAGACCTGGGTCAGTTCTGGTTTAGACCTGGTTTACACTCGTCCCTCGCTCTAATGCTTTTCGCAGTCTCGCAGATTTTATTTTTTTTGTGTGCAATTTTGCAGCCCTTTTTGTTTTTACATTGTATGAACACGTACTGCGTTCCTCCCGCTGCGTCCTGATTGGCTGAGGGACTCCTGTCTCCTGTACACTACAGAATGTGTTCAGCTGCCAAATTTAAATACAAGTTCAATCTCTAGCAGTGTGATTCTGAAGTGTTGTACGGTTGCAAGTTTTCTCCCCGACGAAACGTTCTGCACCGACAAAGGCTCCTGCGCTCACACCCAAAAGACAGAGGACGATGTAACATCACACAAAAAGTTGGACTTCTGGACACGCTGAAGGAAGGTAGAAGTTGCACGGCTGTAGCAGAGTCCTGCACCGGCTCAGGTACCTGCAAATAGTTGCTGAAATCAGGGCCGTGAGCCCGAGCAGCAGGGTCCATAAAGAGCGATCGGGCGACAGTCGCTCTTACCTCCATGAGGTGTGGAGCAGAGCCGCTCCTTTCTCCTGCGGTCACCTCCGAACCCATCCCTACAGTGAGTCCTGTTTTAGTCCTAGTTCAGTTCTGGTTTAGACCATATACGGCTTTTTCGCAGTTATTTTGGTGAGAGTAACTTAAAGTAATGCAATAGTAATGTAATGTCTTACATTTTAAATGCAGTAATATTGTAACGTAACGAATTACTTTAAAATGACAGTAATAGGTAATAAATAACACAATAGTTTCAAAGTAACTTGCCCAACAGTGGTAATAAATAAGAGAAAACAGATCCAATTCAGTACCGTAAAAAACCCGCATAAAAATCACGTTTGACTGGAGGCACGAGCGCTGTTTGGGATGTTTCTACACCAGATTACGAACACATTTACAAAAGTCACACTTAACGACACGATCGGAGCTAAAATCCACACGATAAAGCGGCGACGCAGCGGGAGGAGGACCGGACAGAGACACCGGGACGAGCCGCGCACGCTGCCCGGGCTCGAGCCTCTGTCCCCGGCTCCGCTCTCGCCGCCGGCCCCGCGCCAGCACCATCCGCCTCAAATCCCCGCCATCGCTTCAGCCACAAAGCCCAAAGTGGCGGAGGTGTCGCCGGGGCCGGGGCCGGAGCCGCCGCGGGGTTTATGGAGCGCGGGCGGCGGAGGATGGTGGAGTTATTGGTGTGTTTTTGTTCGGACATGGCGGATCTTTACCTGCACGAAAGGAGCAAAGATGGCGGGAAAGGAAGTGCGCCGGGTCCTGAGGGAAGATAAGAGCGAGAGGAGGTGCCCCGCCAACTGCCGGAACAGAAAACAAATATTATAATTTACAAGATTTAGATATTAAAATTTTTGTGTATGAATAATTCTGTATTTATAAATTTACTCCAAGATTATGTGTGAATAATTCTGTATTTAAAAATTTAGTCCGAGATTTTGTGTGAATAATTCTGTATTTATAAATTTACACTAAGATTTTTGTGTGTGAATAATTCTATATTTATCTGCATTTATACATTTTCCTTTTCAGAGATACTGGTCGATTCTGTTAATTAACTAATGTTTTACTAATTGAATTATGGCTTTAGTAACATAATTAGATAAACAAACTTTTTTTTTTTTAATTCTGCTGTATTTTATCTACTTATTTTCACACGTGTGTATCTGGAGGAGCTCAAGTCAGAATTGTATATTGTTCACATTTATATATCGAACCACAGACTGAACATATTTTATTCTCTATAATCTATTTAAAATGTTTTATGTACTTTTCTATGAAAAACATTTTTTTATATTCAAGTAAATGACAGAAAAATAGAATTCCTGTAATAAAACTCAGACGCACAAAAGTCAGAAGTGACAGATTAAAATAAAAATAAAATAACATTTATTTAACAGAACAAGAGTCAGGAAAGTTCCACACTGTTGCTTTGGAGACTGGGCAGAGTTTATGTCAGGCTCAGAACCCCTCCCAGCTCGGTGCAGCGGCAGAGTGGTTAACATCCTCCCCACAGTCAGAAGGTGTGAGGTTTGATTCCCGCCTGTGTTTGCGGCGCCCCCTTCAGCTCATGCTGCTCCACTGCAGCGAGCTGTAGGACACGCCCCCTGGTGGCGAGGGCGAGCACAGCAGCAGAGTCTTCTTGACGTTGGACGAGAGTCTGACCCAGGACAGAAGGTCCCTCACGGCGAGAGGGTCCCCCTCGCTCACACACAGAGCCATGAAGTGAGCGTGGAAGCGGAGAGCGTCCCCTAAGGACAAACAGTGTTACTGCGCACGCCGCCGCCGCCGTGAGCCGGACGCCCTCCCCGCGGGGCGCCTCGCCTCGCTCGCCCTACCTGGGTAAACCAAGAAGTCGACTCCGAACTTCCCTCCCGCCGTGAGGTAGAAGCCCCGCCTCCTCAGGTCGGCGAACACTCGGCCCCGCCCCTCGCCGCCGCGGCGCCGCTCTCCCTTCGGCTCGGAGCTCCCGCGCCGCCTCCTGACGGGCGGCAGGGGCAGGCCCTGTCTGCAGGTGCTGAGCTGCACGGCGAGCGCCGAGCGCGGGAACACGAAGCTGTCGAGCGCCGCCGCCGCAGAGGTCAGGGCCGCACCTGAGGTCACAGGTCACACAGGTCAGAGGTCAGAGGTCACAGAGACATGTTCAGTGTTTACAGAAACACGAGGACAAACATGATTTATATTCATGAAATAAAACAGACAGGTGTGTGACAGGTGTGTGTGACAGGTGTGTGTGACAGGTGTGTGTGACAGGTGTGTGACACAGGTGTGTGACAGGTGTGTGACAGGTGTGTGTGACAGGTGTGTGACAGGTGTGTGTGACAGGTGTGTGACAGGTGTGTGACGTGTGACAGTGTGTGTGACAGGTGTGTGTGACAGGTGTGTGACAGGTGTGTGTGACAGTGTGTGTGTGTGACAGGTGTGTGTGACAGGTGTGTGACAGGTGTGTGTGTGTGACAGGTGTGTGTGTGTGTGACAGGTGACAGGTGTGTGACAGGTGTGTGACAGGTGTGTGACAGGTGTGTGACAGGTGTGTGACAGGTGTGTGACAGTGTGTGTGTGACAGGTGTGTGTGACAGGTGTGTGACAGGTGTGTGACAGGTGTGTGTGACAGGTGTGTGTGTGTGACAGGTGTGTGACAGGTGTGTGTGACAGGTGTGTGACAGGTGTGTGACAGGTGTGTGTGACAGGTGTGTGACAGGTGTGTGTGACAGGTGTGTGACAGGTGTGTGACAGGTGTGTGACAGGTGTGTGTGACAGTGTGTGTGACAGGTGTGTGTGACAGGTGTGTGACAGGTGTGTGATGTCACTGACCTGACAGTGATGACATCATCACACACTTCCTGTCCTCCAGAGCCAATCGTCTCTGCTCCTCCAGACTCTGCTCCAGAAACTCCTCCCACCGCTGCACCTGACCAATCACAGAGCAGCGTCACAGCCCCGCCCCCCGGGGCCACAGACAGGTGCAGCAGCACAACTCACCTGAGTCTCTCTCCGCCCCCCCTCCTCCTCCTCCTCCTCTTCTCCTCTCTCCTCTGTCTCCTTCCCTCGTTCCTCGCTCCCTTGTTCCTCTCTCTCCTCCGTCAGTGACAGTAGGGGGCGCTCTCCTTCCTCTGCTTCTTCTTGTCGTTCTTCTCGTTCTCGTTGTTCTTGTCGTTCTTCTCGTTGTCGTTCTTCTCGTTCTCGTCGTTCTTCTCGTTGTCGTCTTCTCGTTGTCGTTCTTGTCGTTCCTTCTCGTTGTCGTTCTTGTCGTTCTTCTCGTTCTCGTCGTTCTTCTCGTTCTTGTCGTTCTTGTCGTTCTTCTCCTTCTTGTCGTTCTTCTCGTTGTCGTTCTTGTCGTTCTTCTCGTTGTCGTTCGTTCGTCGTTCCTCGGGGAGCAGGAGCAGGGGTCGTCCCAGGCGGTTGTTCTGTCGAGGGGCTCGGGGGAGGCAGCCCACGAGCGCCCCCATGAGGCCGAACTCTCTCACTGCACGAAGCTCCTGCACACTCCACACCAGCCCCGCCCCCTCCCCCTCAAACCCCGCCCCCTCACCCCAACTCATCCTCACACCTGGTCTAGTCCTGGTTCAGTCCCGGTCTAGTCCTGGTCTAGACCCGGTCTAGTCCTGGTCTAGTTCTGGTTTAGTCCTGGTTTAGTTCTGGTTCTGGGTCTGTTCAGATCACACGTACTGACGTCACTAGTGTGAGATTGGGACTAAACCAGGACTAAACCAGGTCTAGAGTCTCACCTGGCGCTGCTTTGGTGTTTTTATTTTTAAGTGAACTTTGTTTCTTTCAAAACCCGCGTGACTCTAACGGAGCAACACTTCCGGGATGCGCGCGAGGGGCGGCTCTGATTGGCTGAAGCGATCACGTGAACAACGTAACTGAACGCCGTAAAAAATAAAAAATAAATAAACAAAATAAATAAAACGTGGACAATCTAATTTCAGCACCAAAAAAGCAATAAAATACGAGAACTTCACTTTAAGATTCACATTTGTATTTTTACAAATTTCTACAAATAAATCGTGACTCTTGTGTTTCTGTCACGTCCCGTTAGCGCCGCCTACTGGACACTATTATTTATTATTTATCTTTCTCAGATTTTACGTTTCCCATTAAAAGTCAAAGAAGAAAAACATCATGAGTCACTGGACACACAGAAATACAAAAACTGAAAATGTGTTCTTCATATTTTTTTTGGCAAATTTCATGTTCACAGAGAAAAACTAAAACTTGTTCAGTTTCTGTGAATCGAAATAAATCTTTACATTTAATCCATCCACTGTTTATCCTGCAAAAAGTCTGATCAATAAAATATATTTAGAGCCACATTTCACATTTAGACGAGCTGCTCCAAACTCAAACACCGACGTTTCAAAAAACTCAGCAGCTCATGGACCAGATTCAGATTCAGATTCAGATTCAGATTCAGATTCCGTTTATCAGGTTTGATTTATTTTGTTATTTTATTTTCTGTTTTCATAGTTTTTGTTTTTCCCTCCGTGTCTGAACATGAACGTGCTTCATGTTTATAGTGGATTATGTTTTACATCTGTATATATTAAAAATAATAAGTATAATAATAATAATAAATAAAATAAAAAAATATTTAGAGATTTAAGAGCAGCTGTAGTAGTGATAATCCCGGTGCAATAAAAGTGAAACTTTTATTTAAATATAAAATAAAGAAATATTGTGGAACTTTTAGATTTCTTAAAAGTGTTTATATTGTAATTTTATTTATGAGTCTCTAACAGAAACTGAACCAGGTCTAAACCAGGTCTAAACCAGGACTAAACCAGGTCTAAACCAGGACTAAACCAGGACTAAACCAGGACTAAACCAGGACTAAACCAGGACTAAACCAGGACTAAATCAAATAATAACTGCAAACACTTGTGAATGAAGAAAGCAGCTGAGACTTTTATTTTGAAGGCGTCCACAGCTGGGGTTGGGGCTTTTATTGTGAAGTGAAGCGTGTTCAGTTTCCTCCAGACGTTTGTATAGAAACACAAACAAATGTGTAAAAGAAAAAAACATGTGGAGACGAGAGGATGGGAGGGCATCTGACACACACACACACACACACACACACACACACATCTGACACACACACACACACACACACACACACACACACACATCTGACACACACACACACACACACACTGACACACACACACACACACATCTGACACACACACACACACATCTGACACACACACACACACACACACACACAGACACAAACACACACACACACATCTGACACACAATGGTGAAAAATTAAATAAAGTTCATGAGCTGCGGAGGGTGCGGGGTCCAGGGTCGGGGGGTTGAGGTCAGGGTCAGGATCAGGGGTCAGAGGTCGGGGGTCAGCCCAGGGTGAGCTGCTCCAACTCCTTCAACAACTGAGCCTCCTTCTGCAACTTCTCCACCTGCAAAACACAAACCAGGTCTAAACCAGGACTAAACCAGGACTGAACCAGGTCTAAACCAGGACTAAACCAGGACTGAACCAGGACTGAACCAGGACTAAACCAGGACTAAACCAGGACTAAACCAGGACTAAACCAGGTCTAAACCAGGTCTAAACCAGGACTAAACTAGAGTCTAAACAAAGTCCAAACGTGTTTTAGACTTGTACCTGGTTTTTCTGGAGGATTTTCCCAGAGGCCTGTTGTTCCTTCAGCTCATCGATGGCTTTGAGTTTCTGAAACAAAAACAAAATCAGACTGAAATTAAAACTTCTGCCGCCTCGGACCAAAACAAACGTTCTGGTGGTTCTGGTGGTTGTGGTGGTTCTGGTGGTTCTGCAGGACTGAGGTGGGGGGTTCTTTACTTCACCTTTTTGAGGTTTTTGATTTTCTTGTCCGTCTCGGGGTCTCCGGTGCTCGGCTCTGATTGGCTGACGGCGCTGGGCTCTGGCTCTGATTGGCTGTTGGAGGCAGGGGCGGGATCTGACTCTTTAGCCTCCTGAAAAAAACAAATAAAATGAATTCCAGTTTCAGTCCAGTTTCAGTCCAGGTTCAGTCCAGGTTCAGTCCAGGTTCAGTCCAGGTCCAGTCCTGGTTCAGTCCAGGTTCAGTCCAGGTCCAGTCCTGGTTCAGTCCTGGTTCAGTCCAGGTCCAGTCCTGGTTCAGACCTGTTTGGCGGCCTTCTTGGCCTCTCTCTTCCTCTGGTTCTTCAGGGCCGTCTTGGATAAGATCTTGTCTGAGGATCCTGGTCTCATGTTCTGAGGAGGCTCGTCCTCGTGCTGCAACCAAACACAATGGTCACATGACTGTCCCCACGAGTGTCCAACATGTCTGTCCCCACGAGTGTCCAACATGTCTGTCCCCACGAGTGTCCAACATGTCTGTCCCCACCACGAGTGTCCCCGTGACTGTCCTCAACACGACTGTCCACACTTTACTTTAGGATACTTAGTACCTCACCAGTTTCGTTGAGGCGGTCGGGGGCAGCAGTAGTAGTATTAGTATTAATAGTAGAAGTATTAATAGCAGTAGTAGTAGTAGTAGAAGTAGTAGTAGTAGTAAAAGTACCTCACCAGTTTGGTGGAGGCGGTCGCGGGCAGGTGTCGGAGGGCGGGGGGGCGGTAGGCCTGAGTGGGCGGGGCTTGCGTGGAGCCCAGGCTGGTGGGCGTGGTCTGCGTGCTGATTGGTCGTTCCGGGTATTGTCCGTAAGGGGCGTCCTGCCAGCGCACCTCCCACAGCTCCGCCTCCTGAGCGTCCCACTGGTGCAGCACGGCGCCCGAGTAATGCCACACCTTAAACCCGTTTGACACGCGCAGCCGCGGAGAACACGTCGCCGTGACGACGTGCTCGCCGTCAGGCGCCCACGAGAAGTGGGTGGAGTCAGGTGCCTGCGGCTTACACACCTGCACAGGTAAAAATATACACCTGTCACCTGTCAGCTCACACCTGTCACCTGTCAGCACACACCTGTCACCTGCACAGGTAAATATATCCCACAGCCACAGTCGCCCTGGGGCAGACTGATGTGGCTCTTGTTGCCATGGTGACTCAGTCTTTACCTGTTTGTATTTCTTGACGTCCCAAACCTCCATCTGTCCTCTGAGGTTCCCAAACCCGGCCAGGACCAGAATGTGACCCTGAGGACTGAAACACACACACACACACACACACACACAGAGAGACACACACACACACACACACAGACAGAGACACACACACACAGACACACACACACACACAGAGACAGAGACACACAGACACACACAGACAGAGACACACACACACAGACACAGACACAGACACACACACACACACACACACACACACAGACACACACAGACAGAGACACACACACAGACACACACACACACACACAGACACACACACACAGAGACAGAGACACACACACACAGACACACACACACACACACACACATTGCGATTATTTTGGTCAATATTAAAATCACGATTATTCGATTGATTATTCAGCATTTTTCTCTCAAAATAAAAATACTTTCAAATTGAAAATATAATAAACTCTGAACATGAAATAAGTCATAAAAACATAAACAGCTGTTCTACGATTTATACGTCATCACACACCACTGTGTGTTTAGGGTCAGTGTTTACACATGTAACCTCGAGAAACAACCCAGACACACGTCAAACAGTAGTAGTAGTAGTAGTAGTAGTAGTAGTAGTAGTAGTAGTAGCAGTAGTAGTAGTAGTAGCTAGTAGTAGTAGTAGCTAGTAGTAGTAGTAGTAGTAGTAGTAGTAGCAGTAGTAGTAGTAGTAGTAGTAGTAGTAGTAGTACCTGTAGTAGTAGTAGTAGTAGTAGTAGTAGTAGTAGTAGTAGTAGTAGTACCTAGTAGTAGTAGTAGTAGTAGTAGTAGTAGTACCTGTAGTAGTTGTAGTAGTAGTAGTACCTGTAGTAGTAGTAATAGTAGTCGTAGTAGCAGCAGCAGTAGTAGCAGCAGTAGCAGTAGTAGTAGTAGTAGTAGTAGTAGTAGTAGTAGTAGTAGTAGTAGTAGTAGTAGTAGTAGTAGTAGTAGTAGTAGTAGTAGTAGTAGTAGTACCTGTAGTAGGCGGCGTTCCTGGGTCCTGTTCCGAAGTCAAACACAGGGTCACAGTTGAGGTTGAAGACTGTGGCCTTCGCCGGCATAAACCCGTAAACCACACAGAACTCACAGCAGCTCGGACTCCACGCCACGTCGTAGATCGGCCCCGCCTTCTCTGTGGGGGGGGTCAGGGGTCAGAGGGAGGGGTCAGGGGTCAGAGGTCATAAAGCAGAGTCACACACAGGTTTACACCACAGACTCTAACAGTGTTGTGAGTGAGTGTGGCGTCGGCTCCAGTCAAATGAAGCTCACTGAGGTCTGCGGGGGGGGCGGGGGGGCGGGGGTGAGTCTGGAGTCCGGGTCTGTGTGTGTGTGTGTGTGTGGGGGGGGGGGGGACAGTACTCACGCAGTTGCACCAGCGCCGTTTCCCCGGCGACGCTCAGGAAGTGCAGAGTCTGTTCTCCGTAATACGACGCTCCGGTTTTATCCACGTCTGTGCTCGCGATGACCAGGACGGCAGACGCTGAAACACACAAACAAACAAATAAACAAAAACAAATAGAAACAAACAAAAAGATAAACAACGGCAGACGCTGAAACAACCAAATAAATAAACAAAAACAAACAACTGCAGATGCTGAGGAAAAACAAAGGATCCTGCGAGTGTGAGGACCCTGCGTGTGTGAGGACCCTATGAGGACCCTGCGAGTGTGAGGACCCTGCGTGTGTGAGGACCCTATGAGGACCCTGCGAGTGTGAGGACCCTATGAGGACCCTGCGTGTGTGTGAGGACCCTATGAGGACCCTGCGAGTGTGAGGACCC